TTCTCAGAAGGCTCGGAAGTCCCCCGGCCTCCTGAGAGGCGTGATCCCGGGCCTTCCCGGGAGACTCCGAGAGCTTCCCGGACGGCGCGGGGGCTTCTTGAGGGAAGTCCCGCCGCCTTCCGAGGAGGTCCTCGCCGGCTCACGGGTGCCCCCTCGCGCGCCGCCGAGATGAGGCGCTCGAACTCCTCCAGCCGCCAGAGCTGCAGCCGCTGGAGGCCCAGCAGCGGGCCCCCGGAGGAGCCTCCGGGGCGCGGGAGGCCTCGGGGGAGGGGCACCTCGCGCAGCGGCAGGACCTGGGCGCCCAGGGCCCGGAAGGGCTCCGCCACGCGGGTGCCGTCCGGCAGCGCCGCCACGTCCGTGAGCAGCACGAAGGGGTACTTGCTGAGGCGCTGATGGGAGGCCACATGCGAACCCCACCCCCCCACACCTTGAGATCCAACGCATTGAAAAAATCAAGACGGAGGTTTTTCGCTAATTTCGGCCCCCAGGGGCCTTCGCCGGGCCTCGGGACCGTCAAAAAACGACTCAGGATGAAAAGCCGGTCCTGGGGAATGGGTCGAGACTTCTGGGGACCCCGCATTGAACAACTCACGACATCGGATCTCTGGGAAGCCCACCCGCCCACCCCACGAGTTCTAAGGGGGGGAGGTGGGGTTCCTTTCGCTCGGGAGGTCCCGAGCGGGCCCCCTCAGAAACCGTGGGGGCGGTGGGGTCGGGTTCGCATGTGGCCTCCTGGCTGCACTGCACGAGCCATGGCCAGAGAGCGCCAGATGTGGCCCGACGCGCTGCTGGGCGGGTCGAGCACCATCTGCACGAACGCGCACCTGCGCGCGGAGACCCAGGCGCGGGAGCTCTGCTCCCGCGCGCCCGGCACGTGCCCACTGCGCAGGCCTCTGCCACACAGGCCGACATCGGACGAGCCGTAGCCGAGGGCGGCCGCGTGCGCCGTCAGGAAGCAGACCGCCCCGAGCACGGCACCGAAGCCAAAGAGCCCTCGGTCGCCCCACCAGCCCGCACTCGGCAGACGCCCCCCGTGGCCGTGGAGCCCGCCCCTGCACGGGAAGGGCGGCTCCCCCTCGGGCTCCAGCTCGTCCTGGGCTCCCAGCACGAGCCCCAACTGGCCCCCGCCTGAGGAGAGCCCAAAGAGGAGGGGGGGGGACTGCGGCGGAGGAAGAAGTACCCGCACCTCCACCCCTTGCCCGTCTTCCCCTCTGTGGCCCTCCTGGGAGGCCCTCGTCGCCACCGCTGGGTTCGCCTCAAAATCCGAGTCAGAACGCTCCGCGGGAGAGGCTCGGGGGGTAGCAGTATCGGTACCTGTTGGTTTCACCAGGGATGGTTCAGCGGGGGAGGGGGGGGAAGTGCCTTGGAATCGACGATACACCCCGACCTCCAACATCTCGAGAGACTCACGAATGGAGGTTTTTCTCACTTTTCGGCCTCTGGGAGCCCTCGCCGGGCCCCGGTGCCGTCAAACTTCTCAGGATGAAGGGCCGGCACTGGGGAACAGGCCAGACCCTTGCGGACCCCGCAGAGACAAAAACTCAAGACGTCGCCGGCTCATCGGCGCTGGGCCTCCGACGGGAGAAACAAGACGCTCCCGAAACGGGGTGGAGGGTGGGCCCAGAGATCCGACGTCGTGATTTTTTCAATACGGGGTCCCCGGAAGTCTCGATCCGGTCCCCAGGTCTGGCTTTTCCGTTCTGAGTCGAGGTCCCGAGGCCCGGCAAGGGCCGGGCGTCTTGACGGTCCCGAGGCCCGGCGAAGGCCCCTGGGGGCCGAAATGTGCGAAAAACCTACTTACGTTTTGATTTGTTCAACACGTGGGATGAACATGGGCGAGTGGAGGCCGGTGCTACCCCCCAGGGCCGGTCCCCCCCAGGCGTTCTCTGAGGTCAGACGTCGTGAGGCAACCTGCACAGCTTCAGGAACCACGACCGCATCCCCAGACACCGTCCGCGCCGTTGCTCGAGCCGGGTCGGCATGTGATGCCCCAGGACGCCAGGCGAGAACGCCCGTGGTTCGAAAAATTGCAATGCCAGGGTATCAAGGTTGCCCCTGGCCGCCAGAGGCGGCGGCGGCCATGTGCGACCACGCCCGCCGGGCGGTCGCGCCCCAGCGCCCCGGGCGCGCCTCACCTGGAGGCCTCCCGAACTTGGGTCCGAGTGGTAGATGGGGTCGGAAGATCGCGCCGCATCGCCGATCTATCGCCGAAGCATCAACGACGCATGGGCGATGCATCAGCGACGTCGGCGATGCATCGACGCCATCGGCGTGAAGAAGATCGGGCTCCACATCGAGCCGCATTGCCGACGCATCGGCGATGCGGCGCGATCCTAAGACCCCATATGCTCCCAGACATGCGACATGCGACGCCTTGATTTGTTCAAGACGGGGTCCCAGAAAGACCCGACCCTTTCCCCTCGCGATTCGTTTGTTGACGGATTCGCCTGAACCGGTAGAAACAAAAACCTCCGTCCTGACTTCTGTCAGGACGGTGCATGTAAAAACGTCGAACATGCCGCGGCCCCAGACGAGCAGCACGACATAGTGAAACCCACGATGGTCTTCGTAGAAGACAGCGTCGCCTAGGGCAAAGCCCCCCTCCACAAACGCGACCTCCTCTGCCACGTTCACAACACGGTCCGTCCCCTCCTCGCCCTCCTCGACCTCCTCCTTAGTTTCGCCCTGGCCCTCCTCTACGTAATTCTTGAATTCGTCGTCGTCGACGACGACGAAGACGACGATGAAGGCGACGACGACGACGAAGACGACGACGAAGACGACGACGAGGGCCACCCCGCCGCACCCCCGGCGGGCCTGCGGCCGCGGGGCTGAGAGAAAAGAAGAGGAGGAGGAGGAGGAGGAAGAGGAGAAGGAGGAGGAGGAGAAGGAGGAGGAGGAGGAGCAGCAGGAGGAGGAGGAGCAGGAGGAGGAGGAGGAGGGAATGGGAATGGGAACGGGAATGGACATGGGAATGGGAATGGGAATGGGACTGGGACTGGGAATGGGAATGGGAAAGGGAATGGGAATGAGAATGGGAACGGGAACGGAAACGGGAACGGGAATGATAATGGGAATGGAAATGGGAATGGGAATGAGAATGGGGATGCGAATGGGAATGCGAATGGGAATGGAAATGGGAATGGGAATGCGACTGGGGATGGGAATGGGGATGGGAATGGGAATGGGAATGGGGACGGGGATGGGGATGGGGAGGGGAATGGAAATAGGAATGGGAATAGGACTGGGAACGGGAATGGGAATTGGAATGGGAATGGGAATGGGGATGGAAATGGGAATGGGAATGGGAATGGGGATGGGAATCGGAATGGGAATGAGAATTGGAATGGGAATGGGCATGGAGATGGGAATGGGAATGGGCTCCATCGCGGTGCGACACTACCTGGCTACCCCTCCTCCCCAGAGCTCCATGGGCACCGCGACAATGAGGCCGAGCGCCGCGACGATGAACTCTGGGAAATCCCGCTGCGGGACAGAATTTCTGTTTACCTTGTTACGCGACATGAGCCCGAACGAATATGAAGTCATTCGCGCCGTTGAACCCCACAACGACGCTCGTGATCGCTCATGTTCCTCCAGCCGATGACGCCCGAGAGCAGAATGAGAGACACAAAACACACGCAAAGCCTCAGGATGAGTGGAATAGGCCGCCGCTGAAACACCGAATAAGGCATACGGATGGAATAATGAGACGATATACAAAAGTCGTCCGTCTTGCTTGCCACGTGGGCCTGGGCCAGGCTCTGCCCGAAACGGCGCCGCCATGCCCAGGCACACGATGCCGAGGGAGGCAGATGCACGTGAGGGGGCCCGAGCAAAATGCCTGGGCGAAAACTCCATCCACATACATGAAGCGAGTGATTATTACTAACGCTTGCAGTTATCATAGCTGAGGCCAGAAGGAGACGAATACGGAGCAGCATGTGGCTGCCCTGGCTACGCCGTCATCCGATTCAACGCGGCCGCCGCCTCTGACGGGATCGGTATTGCCCCCCTGCTCCGCTGAGCTGGAGCGGCTGCCGCAGCGACGCCCCGCACCTCGCACCTGAACAAGAAGGAGACCATCGGCTACCAGCGCTGCTCGCCGCCTCTGCCACGCGGCATCTGCCGTCTCTTCGGCAGGGCTCTGTTGTGGAGGATCGCTGGAACCCGCGCCGTTCGCCCCCTCGCGAAAGCCGACGGGAGGCGTTCCAGCCTGCACGGCATCGGGCGCTGAAACTTGCTGAGGCGGTGGAGGGTCGCCAGCTGGGGTTCCGATCACCGCCGCTCCACCGGTCTGCACCGCCTCGCTGTCCCTCCCCAGAGCAGCCAACCCTGGCGAGGCCTCCGGAAGGAGAGGTACCGGAGCGGCTGCCGCTGCCGCTGGCGATGCGCCAGCCTGATCGCCCTCGGGCGCCGGACCAGGGGGAGGCTCAGGCTCAACTCCATCGGCAGAATGATTAGGACCCGCAGCCAATGCCTGGTGAAGCGCTCAGGCTAAGCGCGTCAAACCCAGGCCGCATGTGCTGCTCCACCTCCGTGAAAGCGCGCAAGATCCGCATGACCGCACGCCCGTTCGCACGAGCATACTGGGCTCGGCGCTCCGCTGCAGTGCGGTTGGGACGACGGCGCCGGCGCTCCCGCTCCATGCCAGAAGCGCGAGGGGCGAGGACGTGGTCGGAGCGAAGAGCTCCTCCGGCGCTGGCTTGGGATTCGAACCAGACTGGCTCGAGCCAAACTGGTCACTAGGAGGAGGAGGAGGAGGAGGAGGAGGAGGAGGAGAGGAGGAGGAGGAGGGGGAGGAGGGAGGAGGAGGAGGAGGAGGAGGAGGAGGAGGAGGGAAGGAGGAGGAGGAGGAGGAGGAGGACGAGGAGGGAGGAGAAGGAGGAGGAGGAGGAGCACGAAGAGGAGGAGGAGGAAGGAGGAGAGGAGGAGGAGGGGAGGAGGAGGAGGAATGGGAATGGAAATGGATGGGTCGCCCCGCCGCGCCCCCGGCGGGCCTGCGGCCACGGGGCCGGCCGCGGGGGCGCAGGCGAGGCCGCCCGCGTCGCGCAGCTGCCGCCCGCAGGAGGCGCCCTCGTCCTCGCAGGGCGCGGCGGGGCCCAGCAGGCACGTCCTGGCGCTGCCCGGGCGTCGCGGGGGCAGGCGGCGGGGAGGGAGGGAGGGAGGGAGGGAGGAAGTGGAGGGAGGGAGGGAGGGAGGGGAGGGAGGGAGGGAGGGGAGGGAGGGAGGGGAGGGGAGGGGAGGGAGGGAGCCGCCAGCTGGGCTACGAGGGCCACCAGCTGAGCTTCGACGGCAAGGAGCAGAGCCTCAAGAGCCGCTGGCTGAGCCTAGAGATCCACCGGGAGATCTCTGGCGACAAAAAGCAGAGCCTCGAGAACCACCAACTGAGCTGAGAGGGCCACTGGCAAAGCTTCGACGGCAAGAAGCAGTGCCTCGTGGACCACCCGCTAAGCTACGGGAGCCACCGGCAGAGCTACGAGGGCCACGGGTTGAGCCATCAGGACCACGGACCACGCGCTGAGCTACGAGGGCCGCAACCAGGTCTACGAGGACCAGCCCAGCTACGAGGGTCACCAGCCGAGCTACGAGGGCAACAAGCTGAGCGAAGCCGGCCACCAGCAGAGCTACGAGAGCCCCCATGCCAAGCTACCAGGGCGACGAGCTGAATGGCAAAGGGCACGAGCAGAGCTTCGAGAGCCACCGCCAGAGCTAGCAGGACCACCTGCTGAGCTATGGGAGCGACCGGCTGAACTACGAGGGCCGCGAGCAGAGCGTCGAGGGTCCCGAGCTGAACTACAAGAACCAAAGGCAGAACTTCGAGGACAACAAGCGGAACAACGAGGCCAACCGCCTGAGATCCGAGAGCCCACAGCAAATCCAGCTGGGCCACCAGAACAACCCGGAGTACCTGAACACGCAGGACTACGACAAGGGGTGCCCGCCCGAGTTATCGGGTTTGAAGGCCAGAGACGCCACGATGGCCTCGAGGATACCCTGTGCGTGGGATGCCACTACGGAACGCTGGGCTTTCCGACCGGGATCTGTGGCGATCGACGTCAAAAGTACCAACGGCGAGCCAATTGACAAGTATCCCAGGAGACGGCTCGAGCCTACCAGCATCACGACCTGAGGCAAGATGATATCATGTAGCGTGAGGACCGCTGCGGGCGCCCACAGGCCATGAAAGGTTGCGCTCCTCCCTCCTCGCCTCCGCCGCCGCCGTCATTGCAGCGCAGCGCCTGAGGAGACGGAGGTGAGGGGGGGGGGAGGAGGGGCGGCCTGAGGGATGTGGGCGCAGACGGGCCCAGGCGATCCCGATCCGCCCAGGCCCTGAGGCGTAAAGGCAGTAGGGGAACTGGAATTGAACCCGTGTAGGGGCCGGCGAAGAGGGAGCTGGGAGGGAGGGTTTATTCCAGCGTCGTTGATGAGCAGCAAGGATGACACCTCCTCTCCTCTCCTCCTCCTCCTCCTCCTCTCCTCCTCCTTCCTCCTCCTCCACCCTCTCCTCCTCCTCTCTCCTCCTCCTCCTCCTCTCCTCCTCCTCCTCCTCTCCTCTCTCCTCCTCCTCCTCCTTCCTCCGCCTCCCCCTCCTCCTTTCCTCCTCCCTCCTCCTCCTCCTCCTCCTCCTCCTCCTCCTCCTCTTCCTCCTTCTCCTCCTCCTCCTCCTCTTCCTCTTCCTCCTCCTCCTCCTCTTCTTCCTCCTCCTCCTCCTCCTCCTCTTCCTCCTCCGCCTCCTCCTCCTCCTTATTATTCTTATTATTCTTATCATTATTATTCTTCTTCGTCTTCTTATTAATAGTATTCTTATTATTAGTCTGATTATTATTATTAGTCGTCTTCTTAGTATGCTTAGTATTCGTATTATTGTTCGTATTCTTAATTTTTTCATATTACTATTCTTTTTCTTATTCTTATTCTTAGTATTATTCTTCTTCTTATTATTATGATTAGTATTATTATTCGTCTTCTTCTTATTCTTATTAGTATTATTCGTATTCGTATTATTGCTAGTATTCTTCTTTTTATTATTCTTCTTATTAATATTATTATTGTTATTATTGTTATTATTATTGTTATTGTTATTGTTAGTGTTATTGTTATTGCTATTGTTATTACTATTACTATTATTATTACTACTAATCTTAATCTTATTACTATTCTTATACTTCTTATTATTATTATTGTTCGTCGTATTCCTCTTCTTCTTATTAATCGTCTTCTTCTTATTATTTTTATTATTATTCTTCTTCTTAGTACTAATATTATTATTCTTAGTCTTATTCTTATTATTAGTATGCTTCTTCTTATTCGTCTTATTATTCGTATGATTATTCTTATTGTTATTATTCTTATTCGTCTTATTATTCTTCTTAGTGTGCTTACGCGTCTTCTTATTTGTTTTTTTTTTCTTCTTCTTCCTCCTCCTCCTCGTCCTCCTCCTTCTCCCCCTCCCCCTTCTCCTTCTCCTCCTCCTCCTCCTCGCCCCCTTCTCCTCAGGCGCTGCGCTGCAATGGCGATGGCGGCGGCGGAGGCGAGGAGGGAGGAGCGGAACCTTTCATGGCCTGTCGGCGCCCGCAGCGGTCCCCCCGCTGCCGGGCGCAAGCTCTGTGGCCTCGCGCTGCGCGGGCCACTGACCTCCCCCCGAGCTCCCAGGCGCTCCGCCTCTCTGCGGGCCGCGGGGCTCCCCTCTGGAGCCCCCGCCCGCGCTAGAGGGGGGGCCTGGCCCTGCCACTGCCAGCACCCCTGACCTCCGCCGGCGCCTACAGCGCTCTGCTGAGCGGCGCCTCCCCGAGCCTCGCGAGCCTCATCCCCACGCCGCAGCCCATGGGGCTGCCCCTGCGCACTGAGCCTCCAGGCCCCTCTCCGCCGCCGCCCAGCACCTTCACAGACCATGGTCAGGTCGGCGGCCGCCATGCTGCTTTCCACGCCCTGCGCCAAGTCCCTCGCCCCCCCAGAGATACCCCTGGAAGGCGACGCTGTTCCAGCGCCCCTACCTCTGCGCCAGCGGGCTGACGCGCCGCCGATCCGCAGGCTGCGCGAGCCCAGGTCGTTCGGGTCGACTCTCTCTGCCACCGCCGCCTGCATCGCCACCCGCTGGACATCCGCCCGGGCCACCAGCCGGTCGTCGTCGCACGCGAACAGCGGGTCGTGCCCGAGAACCGCTCCCTCGCCGATCCTTCGTAGATAGTCAGGGCCTCCACGACGCAGACGTGGGCCTCTGCCTCCGCATCTGCCGTGGCCTCAGCCTCGAAGTGGTTGCGCCAGCCCCCGCGATTGTACTGGTCGGTCTTGCTGGCCCGGATCTTGATGACCACCTCGTCCGCCGCGGGCCAGCTGCTGCACGGCTCGCCCGCTACCTTCGGAGCGACATCCACCCCGAGCAAGCCCTCGTTGCCCGCGCGGCCGTTCTGGTCGCTCGACACGCACCCGCTAGCCCGCAGCAGGAAGAAGTAGCCCGTGGCAACCGCCGCCCACAGCGCCGCTCCCTCTCGCGACCTCTCCGGCTGCAGCTGCTTCCTGATCCACCGCATCATGCGAGGCGTGACGGGCTTTCTTCCTCTTGGGCGCTCCGCCACGCCGCCTGAGCCCGTCAATCGCCGCCCAGAGTCGCCCTGCTCCCGCCGCGAGGCCACCCATGCCCAGCGCCAGGTGCCGCGCCCTCACGGCGCCGAGGCGCTGCTTGATCGCGCCTGCCTTCGCGAGCCCTCGCCTCGACAAGTGCGTCGCGAAGTCCAGCAGCAGCTCCTCCTCCGCCCTTCTGTTGCACGTGGCGACCTCCCGCAGCGGGCCAATGCCGCGCGCCCTGCAGAAGAGTGACCGCCGGCGCCACCCCAGGCTGAAGGACTTGATGGTGGAGCCTGATAGCTTGTCCAGGATGAGCTCAAGCTTGGCCTTCCCCCAGTGATCTGGCGTCTTCAGGTCCGCGAGGATCAGGTCGTCGGGCTTGGCGCTGGCGAGCACGGCCCCCAGCCCCAGAAGGTAGGCGGGCTAGCCGACCGTCGGCTCAACGCTCACGCCTTTGCGATTCTCGCGTCGGGCACTGGCCCCCGACCTGCACTGCATCAGCGCCGCGCGAGCCCAGTCCAGCCAGCCTGCCCTCTGCTCGGGGTACCCCATATCTTGATCAGCCTCTGCGCCACCTCCTGCTCTAGGGACCCGCTGCGCCTGCTGTCGTCCCGACTCCTCCGGGCCAGCGGCTCCAGGCATGCCCTGAGGCCGCTCGGCGCCTCGCCCTCCGTCTGCTCCAGGTATTGCTGCACCGCCGCGGGGTTGATGCAGCCCGCGCCTCCTGGCCCCGCCGAGCCCCGGGCCTCCCGGTCGATCCCCACCGCGCGCGCCCTCAGCGCTGCCAGCCTGGCAGCCTCCTCCTCCTCGGGGCTCCTGCGCACCAAGTCAGGCATGCGCGGGGGGCCCCGCGCCCTGCCGTCTGCTCCCTGCGGGTTGGACAGCGGCGACCGCGCCCCCCTGCTCGTCGGGCCCCCACCTCTTGGCGGGCTGTCCTGCTCGTTGCTCTGCGCCCTCTCGCCCGCGACACTCCTGCCCGCCTCGGACCCACTTTCGCTGAACGCGCCCGGCCAGCACGGAGCACTGGCACCTCGGGCGGTCACGACCGCGCTCCTCCTAAGGCCCTCGCAGACCACGCCCCCGCACCCCTCGCATCTGCAGCGCGCCTCGCACCCCCAGTCCTGGCAGACCGTGCAGCGGGCAAGGGGGGGGGCGCCTCGGCGAGCCCAGGCTGTCCTCCGGCTGCGGATCGTTTCCCCCGCTTGCCCCGTCGATGTCCCGCTCACAGTCCGGGGCCCCCATGTCCAGTCTCTGTCCTGCCCGGAACCGGGAGCGGGGCCCGGCGCGCCGGGGCACTTGCGCGCCTGCGGCCTGAGCGCGGGGGCGCCGACCGCGCCACCTCCCTGCGCCCGCGGCCCTCCGACCTCGACCTCCTCCTGCTGCCCTTGGCCTCTCCTCGGGCCGAGGCTGTAACCTCGCTCGGCGAGCGCTACATCCTCCTGCCGTGCCTGGATGCGCGCCAGGCTCCAGCAGCGGCGCGCGATCCCCTCGGCGGTCTGGCCCCGCATGGAGCGGCCGCGTGTCTGTGCCTGCCTTTGGGTGGGGGGC